CATTGCGCTCTCTCTGTGTCATGCCTGAGCTAGAATGGTTAGAAAATTTTCACATTTTTCTTTCTTAGTAACTTGTTAGGTGGATACTATGTCCATTTTGCAGTTCAAACAACACAAAATTCAGGGAGACTAAATGATTTGCAGAAAGTCCCCAGTATATGCCTCTTAGCAAAGATTTGGGCCCAGGTCTCTAAGATTACAAAATACTTATGTTCTACCACAAGAACTCTGAAGCATGTCAGATGTCAATAACTGATCTTAGAATCTTACCATTCCTCTCTTCTAAGCCCAGGCACACCACCCAAGACTCACAAGACTTAGCAATCAGCAGAAAGGAAAGGAGCATGCTGGGAGCCTGGCAGCTGGCTGGCCAAGTGCATGGATGGCTTGGGCTTTGCCAAGGTGGGCTTGTGCCTGACTGTCATTTTTCTACAGCCCTACCGTGCACCTGCTGGTATCCCAGGATACCTTCCTGCAAATCTCAGCCACTTCTGCACTGCAAAGTGGGAGTCAAGGTAAAACCCTCACAGGCTGTGTCAGAATATCTGAACTATTATGGTTTCAAGGCCCCAAAGGCAGAACTGGTGTCCCAATTTCTCGGGTGCTTGTTCCCACAATCTGGAGAAGGATACTTACCTGCTTGGTTTGTTTCTGCACCTTTCCAGTGAAGAAATGGAGCCCAGTTTTAAACTACACAAGGAACAGGGAGCCTTATTCAAACATTGCCCACTATCTGCTGCCAGGTCTCAATGAGAACCCACCCACCTGTTCCCACTCTGCCAGTCCCAACCACCACCATCCATCCTGACACAGCTGTATCTTCTAGCCAGGCTCCTGCCTTCTGCTCTTTTCTCTTCTCCCGCTGCATGTGGTGGGACAGGAAACCTGACCACCTCTCTTTGGGGTGTGGCTATACTAGAAGGAATGGAAGCAAAGAAAAAACTCCTGAAGACCCATCCTGGGACTGAGTCTGTCTGTTGTCCCTAGGGTGGCCCATGCAGCACCTTCATAGAATGGGACTCTGGATCCTGTTGTGCTGCTGCTTTAAACCCCTTCTTAACACATACACACATTCAAAACAATATGCTGGGCCTTCTGGGACCTGGTGCTCACTTCCTTGTCCTTATCTCCTAAGTCTTTGGGTCTTTTAGCATCTCCCACCAGCCTGCTCCGTGCCTGTCCCTCCTCCATGCCTGCCTACATGCTGGTTACTCTGCCTCTATTCCCCTCAGCAAGGTTCAGCTGATGCTGCTTCCCTGGCATCATTAGACCTCTCCTAAGTTTTGTCCTTTCTTGCATTAAGCACCTTATTCTTGCTTCAGGAGTCTTTCCCACAGCTTATTATCTATGTACTTCTGTTTGTGTGGTGACTTGAAGTCTCTCTTCTCCATTGTGCTGGAAGCTTCATGAAGGCTATAGCCATACTGTCTTTTCATGACTATGCATACTTAGCCAAGCAAGCACATAGGAAGCATCCATCAAGATTTGCTGCATAAGTGAGTGGAGAGATGGCTAGATGGGCACACTGGTGGATGGAGGAGTGAGTACCTTTCTGTATGATCATTATAACCAGAGCTATACTTGATGGTGGTCAGGGAAGGTGCTGAGGGGACCAAGTTCAAGTCATCTTGGCTTAGGAAGATGAATATTGTTTTATCAAACTGGCAAGGTTGAGAAGGGCATGAGGAAGGAGGAAAAGGGGCAGTGTTCTGGAAAGCACAGAAAACAGTAGGACAGGGTTTCCCAATGTGTGCCTTATTGACATTTGCACAGAATAATTCTTTTGAAGGGCAGATGAGAGCCATGATGTTTACTGTAGTATATTGAGAGCATCCTTGGCCATGTACTGGAACTGGGTCCTCAGTGTAGCTATCTTGAGGAAGATGGAACCATTAAGAGGTGGGGTGTAGAGGGAGATGATGAGGTCATTGGGGGCACTTCCTTCTTCTGGGATTCCAGTTAGTTTTCTAAAGAGCTAAGTAAGCCTTTTATTTTCTGTCTCACCATGTGATCTCTCCTTCTTTCACATGCTTCCAGCTTGATACCATCTGCCACATTCTGGATCCAGCCATAGCTGGCGCCAGGCTTTCTGGACTTTTAGCCTCTAAAACTGTGAGCTAGATAAAGCTCTTCTCTTTGCAAAGTACCTAGCCTCAGGTTTTTGTTATGACAACAGAAAATGGACTAAGTAAAATTCCATGGATAGGGGAGGGGTTCATGAGGCCCCACCTATAGCTGAGGAGTTATCAGTTGATGGCTGCTGGAGGAAAGAGAGTCATTTTTCTTTGGGAGTATGGCATCTACCAGTGGCCACACCCCCAAAGAAAAGTGTGCCAGAGTCCTTAGCTAAGGGTACACCAGTAAAAGGGGGAGCATGGATTGGAATCCACCTTAAAGAAGTGTCTCCAGAGTTCATATTGGTAAGTACTGGTTAGAGAAATTGGCATCTAGACTGGAATTCAACCTTTAACACATTGGTTTTGTTGTTAGGGGAAAAAATTGTGTTTGCTTTTGTAAAGACCAAAAGATCTGTGCTGGGGATGTAGCTTAGCGGTAGAGCACTTGCCTAATATATTCGCATGATACCCTACTTCAGTTCCCTGCACTGAAAACTATAAAAATCATATAATCTAAATATGAACACAGAACACTATTAATTTCCCACTCAGAGAAGATACATCAGACCTAAGAGTGGGTTAGTAACTGAATTAGAAATAAAGACCAAATCTGTGGATTATAGACCAGTTTACTCCTTGTTCCTGAAGTGGAAAGTTCTATACCCAGGATGCTTCACCAGTCTTTGCTTTGAGAATTTATATTACTAGCCTATGTCTGCGTTTCTTTAAAAATTTAATCAAAGTAGCAACTCCCTTATTGGATTGTTTACTAATGAAGTAAAATTGCAGAATGTGTGTGTGTGTGTGTGTGTGTGTGTGTTATCCCTGCTGCTCTCCTCTGTGTGTGTGTGTGTGTGTGTGTGTGTGTGTGTGTGTGTGTGTAGATCCAGCTTGGGACAATACCTAGCATTTAACTTGAAAATGTTAATTACTCTTTTTCACTCTGTTTTGTGCCACTTGACTTCTGAAGTCACATCTAACTTGGTTCTGACGACCTGTATGTGGTCTTCTTCACAAAAGAGGACGTCACCGTCCACCTGGTAGAAGGGTTTTGTTAGGAACATGAGAGGAAGTATGAGGTGTGGCCCTGTAGGAACCCAACACATCCTTCAGGATACACCATTTCCTTTCCCATACATGCAGGTCCACTAGAAGAGAGCTGGTTTATTCTTCTGGAGTTGGGGTGACTTTCTGGAACATCTGGACTGCTTGTCAGTGAGAAAAGAAAGCCCTCAGAGAGGGTGAGGAGTAGAGGCTGAAAGAGACCACACTTATCTCTGGGTGGTCTGTAACTGTGTGGAAGGTTGTGGGGAGGTGGCCTCCCCACAGTCCCTTTTCATTACACCCCTGTTAAGAGACATGAAGCTCTGCAAGGTGTAGTCATTAGGCTTCGGAGTTTCTAGACAGTGAGTATTCCTTCACACTTCCTCTTTTGCCTGAGTGCAGGCCCAGGCATTTCCATGAGCTTAGGCAGCTCCAAATTTTGGTTTCTAAATGTGAGGGCAGAGTCCCTGACTCCTTGCATATAGTTGCTCAACTTTGGTCATACATGAGAGGCATTTGGGGAGACTATTCATATGGATACCTAGAGATTCTGATAGAAATGTTGTGGGGTGTAGCCTCAAGATGAGGAGTTTTAAAATCTCCTGGTGTTTCCAACATGTAGCCAAAAACCAAGAGTGGCTGATGTGCATGAAGCAAGTACTCAGCACTGTCTCTTCAAGTTTTGGAGCATTAATTCCCTGTTCAAAGTTGTTTTTTCCTCAGGCTAACTCAGAAGTGCTTTATTTCTACCACCCACCCCAGCACATTCTTATATTGAAAACCTCTGTGCTTTCAAAACAAATGACTCAGCCCCAGCCCATCAGACAGGCTCTTTATCTAGCTTTAGCTCCTCTTCATTGATTGGATTGAGGCAACTGGTTAAGACACACAGTGCCTTCCTGGAGATGCCAATGAAAGAAATCAAACAGATGGAATGATCCATTGTTTGCTCCTGGACTGCGAACAGGATCGTTTATCTGCACATCTCTCTTGTGATGTGCAAGAGCTCACATTCTAAAACCCCAAGTTCTCTTGGGTAGATCTTAAACAATATTTCTCCCACCTATGTTCACGGGATGCCACCTCTCTGCCACCTCCATTCATGTCCTTTCCTCCATGTCAGGAGATGTGCCATGAGCCACAAGCTCTTCCCAGCCTCGCCTCCCCAGATGCTGTTCTCCAGTCTCGTTCTGAACATACACTTGTACCATTGCCTTGAATACACTGTTCCTTCCCCAAACCTGTAAAGCTTTTACTTACCTTGGCTCATCTAACCTGTCCTCCCAGTCCTCTCCCAGCTCCTCCCCACTCTTTGTACTCTCCAAATCTTTGTAATGCTTGGGTAGAGCATTTACCATGACACACTATGTTCATTTGAAGAAGGATTTTGTAACTTTGTCTTTTTATAAGCAACTCCTGGTATAGGGACAAGACCTTAGCAGGTGCAAACTGAAAGCTGTTGGACTGAATCCAGTTCTCTGTCTCCAGATATATACCAATCAATTTTTGAAACACCACCTCAAGAAAAACAAGAGAGGTTTTCCCTCTGTCACCATCTAGAAGCTTAGGTAGGTGTATTCATCTGCCATGACAAAATCTCAGCAGGGAAATAGTCATTTGCTTTCCTATGTATGTAGATATGAACAAAATGAATAAGCACCATAGATCTGAAATAAGACAAGAGATGTCTTAGCTCTGGAGGAAATGTTTCCCAAGAAACAGGGCATATTTGGTAGCTGGTGGAATGAGAGGGTTTAGGAGGGTAAAAAAACATTTTTCTGTTTTGTTCCTGGCATGGGGGTAACCTGGGGACCACTGAAAAGGAAGAATACCTATTACCTTTTCCGGAGCAGGCAGCTGTAAATGATTAACCTCCAAGGGTGTGATGAGGGGGACAGTCTGGAAGCCATCCTCCACTGAAGGCGGCTTGGCCCCCTTCTCTCCTGGGTTACTGTTCAGCTTCACCATCCTGCTTTTCTTCCCAGACCTGAGGCAAGCAGTAGAATTCTGGTTACAGCCGGAGGTGAGGCAGAGAGGGAGAGGGGCTGATGGGTCCTCAACAGCTCCCCTGGGGCTGCATTCAATCTGGCACTAGCCATCCATCTCCACTAGATTTCCTGACATGATTCCCATTGTCCAGGGAAACTTCTTTATTCATCAGAACATGCCAACTACCCACAGGGTTCAACAGCCCTCAAATTAGGGGGCTAGTGAAAAATCGCAGACCCATATGAAAAATATAAGCTTAAAAAAAACCCATCAGGACACTACAGCTTAAGTATCCATGAAATTTCAGTGGCAAGCTTATCCTCCACACAAAAGGAAATTCCATTTTTTGGGTCCCCCACAGCATGACACATTTCCCTTTACCACTCTCATTGCTATTTTGCCTTTTCTTTAGCAATCTAAAACACAATAAATACATTTAGTCTCTCTAGCGGTACCTTTTCACACAATATGTACATTAATGGTACATGAGATTCAGGTTCTTAAAACAGGCTGGCTTGAACCTGATCCTGTTATTCAGCCATAAAATGCCTCCAAAGGATTTTTTTTTTTCCACAGAAAGTTAGCAGCCCCCATATCCCAAGATTGTCAACTAAATAAACAAACCACATTTATTTTCCCCCAGCTCCCTTTGAAGTCAAACGGTGCTTCCACCCCACCCTCAAAAACCAGCACACTGAATTTCTCCCTGTCAATCCTGCTGATGGCGCATACTGAGACAAAACAGGGTTGTTGGGATGACAGGGTGGTAAGGATTTGGAGGATGTCGGGGAGTGGTTACAACAAAAACAAATGCCTACTTACTGTGCTGCACTGGTGGGGGTCAGAGCCGATTCAAGCCAATATGTAGAGGAGGAGGAGGACAAACAGGAGTCCTCCCTCCTCAGCCTGAGCTCCTGGTGCTGAACCAGCAGCCCTCTCGTGCGTCTGGATCCGGAGCTTCTGAGAGCAGGCGCCAGCGCCTAGAAGCTCTCCCGGCAGCCGCCTGCCTGCCTGCTCGCGCCTCCCACCGGGGACTGCTCCCGCACCACCTGTCATCTGGCACCACCTGCTGTTTCTCATGCATGGCCACAACCCCTGCGCAGAACAAACGGTTTCTAAAAAAGTGGGTGGGATATTAGCTACAATAAGCAATAATCTGTTTTTAAAAATTATACAATTGTGTAAAAAGCAATTCTTGAGTTTGGGAGGAAACTGCCAGAGGAGGCACCTTTCTTTTTTTTTTTATTTAGGCAAAAGGTTCACTTCCTAAAGAGCCTAAGGATATTTAAAACAGTGGTTCAAAAGACCCACACTGTGGTCAAAAGAGAGTAAACTGATACAGATTGTGTATTTCCTGTGTCCTGGACACTTTTCCAGCCTCTTTCAGCTATCCCCTTCATTAGTAAAATGTCATTTTCTAATAGTGACTACATGGTGGGGTCTTAGTGTGCTATGTTGAAGGAGGCAGCACAGGAAATCATTCAGTATGAAGTGCTGCATAAAGGCGAGTATTCTGCTCACAATTACCCATGATCATGCAGGCCAGATATGGTCACAGAACAGGAATTTGAACTCTGACCCACTGCCCCCAAAGTTCATACCTAGTAAGACATTAGATGACAGCCAGTTCAGTGTTCTGTGTGAGAAGGGGCAGAGTCCCAGCGACAGTCCTACCAAGGCTGACTTGATAGATTTAGGCCATTGTGCATCTACTCTCTAACCCTCTGTTACCTTATCTCTGAGAATAATACTTCCCTTGCAGAGTGGTAGTGAACAATGGAAAAAGATGGTACCCAAGGAAACACCTTTTAACCTGTGAAGGAAGTTCTGAATGGCCACATCATTACAATTGTAGAGACTTCTCCCATACCCTTTTAATTTATTTTTATTTGTTATTTTCATTTTATGTGTATGAGCGTTATGCCTGCATGTGTGTAAGTGAACCCATGTCGTGCAATGCCTGCAGAGGTAAGAAGAGGGTGTCATATCCACTGGAACTAGAGTTATGGATGGTTGTTAGCCACCATGTGGGTGCTGGGAATCGAACCTGGGTCCTCTGCAAGAGCAGTCAGTGTTCTTAACCACTGATTCGTCTCTCCAGCCCCTCAAATACCTTTTTAAAAATCCTCTGTGGTCTAGTCCATTGCCAGTGGTCTCTTCTAGTTGTGATTCAAATCAGTGTTGGTCATCGATCACCAGCTGCAGAGGTGTTTATGTTGCGTTTCGTGGGGTTCACCTGTCCTGGTATTGAGCACTCACTTCTGATTTCAAAAATGTCTTGCTCTGCACAAAACTGGTGTTTAGCTAGTGTTCATATACTAAAAGACAAGAAAACACATACATTGTCTGTACTGTTTGGGAATAAAATGTGTATATAAAGAGATTTATGAGCCTATAAAGGCTATAACACATCAGAGTTGCACAGGGCAGCATTAAGAGAGGGAAATATTCTAATCAGTGTTGGTCTTCCTTCCCCTCATTTCCAAAGACCGGAATGATTGATAGTTTCAAACACTGTATAAGGCTAGCACAGTGTAGACAACTGCATAGTTCACCTGTAAACCCTATTACTGCTGCTCCAAAAGAAAAAGAAACTCCCTCTGATGTCTCGTGCTTGATTCGCAAAGGAAAAAACAATACAAAACAAAAAAACCCACACTTCTCAAGCCAGAGGTGATAAGACTTTAGAAAGGCCCAGGAATAGGGCCTATCTTTCTTCAAGGAGAAATCTAGGCTCGATAATCAGTGAGGTCAAAAAAGAGGCTGAAAGGAAGGTAGCTACAGGGATGTGAGAAAATCTCACCTTGCTAAGAATGAAGTTGAGAGGTTCTTAGTAAAATAGGCTTATTCTCCTGTAAAATGCATTTGATAGTTGAAAAAAAAAACATGATTATATCTTCTGGTGAGGTTTTCAATGTACTTGTAATATGTAAGACAACTCCAGCACACAGTGTGGAGGAAGATGACCTCCATGATAAGGTATGGGCATTTCCCTAGGCTACTTGAAGAAGTAAAGCTTTGATTCCAAGTAACCTGAGAAAAATTGAGTATGTCTACCCTAGTCCTAGGGCAGCTCAAAAGATACAAAGATAATCAAGATGCAATGCAGTAGAAAAATTAATATATAATACAATAAAGTTCAAAAAGTTCAAAGTTAACCAAAACAAGGCAGAAAAAACAGAAATGAGAGAGAGAGAGAGCACGGCAGCAAAAAGTAATGAAATAGTGTACTTACATCTAAACATATCAGTAATTACATGAAATGTAACCAGTATAAACTGCTTAGAAAGTCTGTCAAAATAGAGAAAAAATAGGAATCAAATGCATGTTAAAATAACAAAAAATGCACTTCAAACATATGACAGGCTCATCACCTATCCAGTTTTCTCCAACATCAGCCACCTCTTCCAGGTCATCTCGGCTTGATCACAAGATCAAAGTCATGTACCTAAGCTACACAGATAGGAAAAAGTCAGTGATAGGCCTGTCCAGGCCCTAAGATCAACTCCCTGGGTCTTTAAAAAGAAAAGGAAAGCCTACCAGATTGATTATTGCAATGCTGAGAAAACAATTTGTTAGGAAGGAATGAAGATTACAGCGACCATTCAGAGCGCATAGACCCAGGTTGCTGCAGTATATTCCACCTCTATCCTTATTGTTAAAGTCCTCAAGGAATTACCCAAAGACAGAAAGAAGCAGGAAAACAATACTCATAGCACAGCAACAGCAACACACTTGTGATAACCAATATTGCCGGACAGATACCGCGCTAACATTCGCTGCAGACTCTGCATTCCTGTACGAGGTTGTTGGGATTTCCCTTCTGTGGCCTGCAGTAGTGATGAACAGCACTCAGACGGCATTCTAGAGGGCAGCACAATGGTGCAGTGGAATGTCCAGCTGACTGAGAACTACAAAGGAAAATATTTCAATAAAGGATCACTTGAGAACAACTGAAAAAAGAAAATAAAGACTGAAAAAGGATGTTTTCAAAGATAACTGCACTGTGATAATACCGTATGTGATGGTTCATGTTCATCATTAATCAGACTGGGTTAAGAAACCCCTAAGGAATTTGTGAGGCACATCTTTGGGTATGTCCATGGGAGATTCTCCAAAGAGGGTTAGCTGAGTGGGAAAGACCCTCCCTGAAAGTGAGGAGCACCTTCTCTTGAGCTGGAGTCCCAGAAAGAACGAAAGTGGAAAAGGAGAAAGCCCTCTGCTTCCTGACCTGCAGAGACTTGAGGGAGCAGCCTCCCATTGCCATGGACAGGAGGGAGCTGGTCCCACAGACATGCCTTCCCTGTGGTGATGGACTGCAACACCCGAACCAGGAGCCAAAGCAAACCTTTCTTCTTTTAAGTCTTGTCAGGTATTTAGATGCAGCAACTTTGTTATGAGGCAAGTAATAAATACACTGTTTGGATGAAAACCAAAGTAGTTGTATCCGTATAAAACAACATAGATGCCAGGGAAAGAAAAATTATCAGAGATAACAATAGGCCCTTTCAGCTAGACTGACTGATCAGCAGGCCCCCAGAATTACCTGTTTCCTTTGGATCCCTAGTGCTAGGATTACAAGAGCATGCTGCTGTACCCAGCTTTCACGTAGGTGCTGGGGATCTGAACCCAGGTCCTCATACCTGCACTGCCATTAAGCCATCTCCCTAGCCCACCAGCCAAATATTTTAAAATGAAAGAATACCAATTTATATGATCCCTTCCAGAAAACAGATACTGGTCAACCAGTCTAGCTGAAATGGTGAGCTTCAGGTTCAACAAGAGATCCTGCCTCACCCCCAAAAGTGGAAAGCGATCAAAGACATCTCAGTGCTGACCTGACCTTTACATGTGTCTGCACAGGCAAGAAAGAACACCAAAGTACATAAACATCCTTAACTCACTCTGTCAGGACATGAAAACAAGATAATGACAAAGCAATATAAGAGCCTTACAGGCCAATATATCTCATAAATGTAAGTGCAAAAATCTTCAACAAAATGTTAGAAAGTCAAATTCAGCTATAGGCAAAATAGCAATATACCATAAATAGGAATATATGGGCTTTATACTAGAAATACAATTGACTGAGAAAAACAAGTTGATAAAAATTAGCATCCATTCATTATAAAAAACAACTCTCAGAAAACTTGATATAGAAGGGACTTGATCCAATTGGTTAATGTCATACTCAGGGTGAGATAGTGACTGCCCATTGCCTCGGGAACTAGAATAAGGCTAGGGCCCTCGCTCTCTGCTCCTGTTCGGCCTCAGACACAGAGATACCAGCCAATGAAGTGAAGCAAGGAGAGGTGCATAGACTAGAACGATACAAACCTCATGCTTCTCCACATAGCATGCATGCTTATGTAGGAAAGCCCATGAAATCGAAGGTTTAGAATATGTGGATTTAGCAACATAGGTACATGAATGTGCAAAAATTAATCGTATTTCTGTATATGACCAATAAATGGAAGCCAAAATGTTTAAAAAATACTTACAGTAGCTCTCCAAAATGATGAAATAATGGTATTAGTCTAGCGAAATTCATATAGGATCTGTGTGATCCCAAACACAAAATGCTTATGAAAGAGTTCAAAGACATAAATAATTGAAGACAGTGTATTTGTGAATTGGATACTCACCACCATACTAATGATGGCAATTCTCTAATAATTGACTTATAGATAAATATTTTGTTATAATCTTTGGTAGGAATTTTTGTGGATGAACAAGATCACTCTAAAATATGTATAGAAAGCCCAGGAACCAGAATAACTATAAGATTTTTAAAAAAGAATCATTCTACCTAATTTAAGATTTGCTATTAAGACACAGCATTTTAGTCATTATTGTATTGACAAAAGACACACGTATTAACGGAAGAGAGGAGTCAATCAAACAGGCCAACACAAACGTGGTCAACTGATTCTCCACAAAAGTTCAAATGCAAGTCAATGGTGGAAAGATAGTCTTTTTAAAAAGTGATATTGGCCAGCACTTGGGAGGCAGAGGCA